TGCAATATTGTTTGTTAGGTTCCAACTTGCAGTTGGTAAAATGGATTGCTAAATTTATGGTAAATTTGTGGGAAGGAGGACAAAGTTGGTGCAGCAAAATGCGGTAGATTGTAAGAATGATCACTTGATCTAACAATGTAATTTTAATAGCAGTTAACACTGATTGGGTAGATGCAGGGGCGACATTATAATATAATTTTAATTATATTTAAATGGTACTTTAAATTATTGTATTTTATCCCGATTTTATTTTAGATCGTATTTTATTCTAATTGTATTTTAATTGCGAGTTATTCCAATCTTACTTAATTTGTTTTACCAAACCTTTGTAATGATTTGTCTTTGTAATTCTGCACTTGATATGGCCCAAAAGGCTAATCAATAAATAAAATTGAATTAACTGAATTAAAATGAGGACCCGGATTGTGGGAGCAAAAAGCTGACTTTGTGCTCTGTAGGGCGACCCGGGGTCCATTAACTGAGGCGAGACTAGGCTGGGTTCAAACAAGCACGGTTTATTGGCTAACAGTAACATGAACAGCTTGAGGGAAACAGAACAACAACTAAGGGTTTGACAGCTATTTATACCGCAGCTGTCAAACTATGTGACCAATAGGAGGTCAGGATTCTCCCGCCGGCAAGCCCATGCGTCTTAGCCAATCAGAACCTTGTGACGTAAGTGCGAGGACTTAACACTTTGTATAAAAAAGAACACCGCTTGGGGGGGGGGGCAAAAGCCCTACTAAGGTATATACAAAAGTATGAAGGTTATTGCTTAACACAATGTAAGCTGCCCTGAGTCTCCGGAGAAGGGCGGCATATAAATCGAACCAATCTATATAAATAAAAATGTAAATGTCCATTTGTACATAACCGCACATCTCCTAAAGTTCTTCACCGATTGCTTTCAAATTTTGATACAAGGTTGCATTCAACTACGGGCGTGTTTTTATATACCTATATTTGGGCTCCCTCCAAAGAACACCTGGCAGTGAGGCTGTCTGGGTCCGCAGAGCGGGAACCCACCGTGTCTCGCCTGGCCCGAATCGCGCCTGGCCCAGTGCTACCACGGGCCCTGAGGTCAGAAAGACCAGTTGCTAACCAGCGCTATGCGAATCCGGTCAGTGAGCTGGAGATAGAAGCAACTGGAGCCTCGGGGTCGCCTTTGACCAGCGCCTTTGATTCCCAGGTGGGCGCTCTGGCAGTTCACAGAGCCTACATGAAAATTTCGGCCTCTGGCAGAAAAGGGGCTCCGGGAAGGCTTCCGGGATGGAAACGGGCAGAAAGAAGAACGGCCGGCCCTCCTTCGCCTATCCAGCTCCTTCACCAGCTGGGTAGGTGTGGCTCGGGGCTGTCATGTGACTGATGAAAGTGAGTGACGTCAAGTTGGCCACGCCCACCAAATTTTCGTAGAGAGTTTGGAACTTCAGCCTCGCTCTTTTAGCCCAGCAGAAGCACCAGACTGGGCCACAGCAAAGCGTGGCCGGGTACAGCTAGTAAATAAATAAATAAGGAAGCAACTATTTACTTTACAGAGAAGAACATTTGAAATACAAGAACACAAGCGAGCAGTCAGATTGGTAGCCTCACTCTGCAATGAACAAGGATACACATTCAATTTTGCAATTACTAAGATTGTTGGACAAGCAGGAACAAAAACAGGGAAGTGACTGAAACCTGGGAAACATCAGTTAACAAGAGTGCTGATTTACCACCAGCCTATCAAGTACTTAGAAGCAAGGGCTGGCCAGCACAAACAAATGACAGCTAACAACATAAAAGCCAGCTATCAACACACCCCAATCTACATCTAAGAAGCTACATACAACACGCACTATAAATACCACACAGAGAATATCACACACTCTGCTAGAGAGAAATTCACTGACGATGGCCTCCAGCATGAGTCCAAAAGCTCGGAAGATAAAACCTCTAGTCCTGGTAACTGACCCAGATTGGATCCTGCAACATTATCCTGGGATTTGTATATTTGCCTTCATTTGTAAGAAAATTTGACTGCAGCATCCCCAACACAAGGACCAGAAGGTATACACTGTCTTTGCGTACTTGCATTCTCCCTATTCTTCTTGCTTAGTTTTATTTTAATTAGATTTTTAAATTTAGATATTTAATTATTTTTTTATGTTTTATTCTGTATTTTATCCAATGTCTATAAGCTGCCTAGAATTGCCTCCAGCAAGATGGTTGGGATACAAATTTAATATTGAGGGAGGGAGGAGGGAGAGATGCCTTGAGGTTGGTACACAAAGGTTGCCATGGAGATTGAAAAATTGTGATCTCTGGCGATAATGGGATGCCTCTGAAAGTGAGAGCCAGCTTGTCCAAACTGTTCTGTACTGTAACACTTTCTACATGCCCTGGTGGCCATGTGGTCCTCTGTTCAGATTTCCTGATAATGGTAAGGGAAACCCAGCAGTCAGTGGGAAAAGTGTGAAAATAAAGAATGAAAGTCAACAGGATTGTTAGGAAGGAAGAATCTTGGTTTTGTTCTCCAGGTTGTTCTGCCTAAAATTGTCAATTTCCAAGTGGTGATGACAGTAGGCTCACTGGAATAGAGAAGGAAACTGAGGCAACATTGATGGAAAGAAAGGGACAAGAATGAGAAGAGGGTTGCATATGCATTAACAGTGTCCAATAATTAATTCAGTCTTCAAGACAAAGAAGTTTTCCCATCTTAGTCTAAAACCTCTGAGTTAGCAATTATTTCCAGAATGTTCCGCCAATAAATTTTCAGACCATATAAAGGGGGACATTTGGTTATTAACAGTTTATTAAATTGGATTTAGAGATATTTTGAAATGTTTCTTAATTTTAAAATCCTAAAAATCCCTATGTAAGTTGTTTAAAAAAAACTTGAGGATGAATTAAATTTCAGTATTATAAAGGAGAACATTTTCTTTCTGTTTTCTTCATTTGTCTAATTCAAAATTTTCTGATCTCCTCAGAGATGATGCTCCAAACCATGTGTCCTTTTCTAACAGTACTGAATTGTTTCTTAGATGATCAGAGCACCTATGTTTCGAGTGTTTATTCGAGTGTTCCCAATATTTATTTAGTCAAACCTTCCTTCCTATTTAAACAATTACTTATAAATGTATGAAGTTTATTGATTGATTGGAATCAATAAACGAAAACGAGAACAAGAATAAGAGAATAAAAATACAATGACAGGGACAATAGGCACGTTAGTGCACTTATGCACCCCCCCTCTACTGACCACTTAAATATGAAGTAAGGTCCACGGAAGTCAATTTGTGACTGAAACTGAAAATTTGTAGCTGAGACAAATGAATCAGGGCATTCCAGATTTTGACAACTCTATTACAGAAATATTATTTTTTACAGTCAAGTTTAGAACGATTAATATTGAGTTTAAAGCAGTTGTTTGCACACGTATTATTGCGATTAAAACAGAAAAAGTCATTTACAGGTAAGACACGACTATGTATAATTTTGTATGCAATACCTAGGTCTGACCGCAAGCGATGCAATTCTAAGTTATCCAAACCGAGAATTTTGAGCCTAGTAGCATAGGGAATTCTATTGTGTACAGAAGAATGCAAGACTTTTCTCGTGAAATACTTCTGAATCCGCTCAATTGTACTGATATCAGATATATGGTGGGGATTCCAAACAGTTGAACAATACTCTAAAATTGGTCTAGCATAAGCATAAATTATAGTTACATAACTTTGGAATGTTGTAAAATAGTTCTCCCAGCTATCAAGCCTGCTAAACAAATACACAAGCACATATATTAGACATGCACAAATCATTTAACAGCACTCTGTTTGTAATGGAAGTGCCTCACTGGATCTGCTGCTTGATGTCAAAAGGTTTGCTTGTACCTAATATATGCGCTAAGAGATAGATTGCAAGCAATTTTGGTTTTATGCCTCTCCTACTGATCACTACCTCCAAATTTGTCATTTTCACAGAAGCTGTATGCAGAATTAAATTTTTACTGAGCTATCCATCATAATCCCAAAATTCTTTCCTTGAGTAGTCATGTAAATAGGCTATTAGAAAAGCATCAATAAATGGTATTCCCTGGTAGAAATTCTACCTGGAAGGGCAGTCCTGGAAGAACAAAATTACATGGAACCATATTGCTAACTGAAAATACTACCATTGCTTCAGACATTGCTAAATTTATATAATCAAAGCCCGTCAGTATTTCCATCTTTTCAGGAAAAGGAAGGGAAGTGAATTATTGATCAATAACGTACCAATAAAATTGGAATTCTGATTGTATGGCCAATTCTAATTAGAACTTTTATTTTTCAGCTGAGGGCAACAAATTAAAGTTATGTTATTTTTCCACCAGCTTATTGCTCCAGTTATAATACTCCTTCCAACCTTCTGTTCACATACTAGTTATTTAACATGAGCTTGTAAGAAGCAACTAATTTGAAGAAAAGATAATCCTCATTTAGCAATCACGATTGGGATTGGCAACTATGCCGTCATTAAGAAAAGTGGTTGCTAAGTGAAACCCAACTGTGGTTATAATCTTATTTTAGCTTTCCTTTGTTTACAGATTTCAAGGTCATAAATGCAAGGATTGATCCTAAAGTTTTTCAACGCCCTTCTAACAATGATCACTAAATGAGGACTACATATATTATCACAATAGTAGAACTTGAAGTAATAGCCTCAGTGCTAGTATGTGCTGAAAACCATTTTCTCAGCTATTTAACACGTGGAACAAAAAGACCTTTGAGAACATTTCCACAAATGTACTTTTGATCACTACACAACCCAGGGTCAGGGGTATTTACAAGACCAGTTACTAGGAAAACAGCTATACATAATCGCCTTTTATTAAACAACCTGACCAAGCATGCATTTTTACATATACGATGCAAGCAATTTAATCTTTGGCATCACATTTGCAATGCCTGGGAGGGGGGGAGGGGTAAGGCTGGTTAAAATGCTGAGTCATGATCACAGCCTATTAGCCTACAGGGGTACTTTAGTTTAGGATTATTTTATATAGATAGGTAGGGAGGTAAATAGTCAGGGAGGTAAGATAGGATTACACAATATGTCAAAACGACGTCACCTTATCTTCTAAGTGTTTGCTTTTATTCTGTAATTCTGCAGCTAGGGACAGAAGCACCCAGGGCAGAAGAAAATAAAGCTCCTGGACTGTTTTGGGTTTGTAGTTTGTTTGTTTGTTTGTTTTTGGTCTGTCTTTTCTGTTAACAGCAGCAATCTAGACTCTTCTCGGTTTTCCTGAGCGCGCAAGAGCAGAGCGCCTGTAGGGCCTGTTCAATGTCCCCCTCCGCACGCGCGCTTCCATCCTCGGGTGGAAGTCGCCCGCTGCAGTCCGCGCTGTCTTCTGTGTGACTGCACGCGCATAAGTGGCGGCTGCTTGGCGCCCCCCCCCCCTTTCTCTCCGGTTGCCCATACTCCGCTGCCGTTTCCTCCCCCTTCTCTGTGCCCTGCTCAAGGACGAAGCGGGCTGCCCACTCGGCCTCCGCTCGCCTGTGGCACCCGTCTCCCATACGACAGAGTCGACGAAGCGACGAAAGAAGCGCGTCTTTCCCTCTTGGCTGGAAGCTGCCGCAGCAAGCTGAAGATTGGAGAGAGCAAAGAGAGAGCGGTGGGGCAGCGGCGCGGGAGATGAAGTGAGGTGAGCAATAAAGAAAGAGCAACCAAGGCTGAGATGCATTCATTAAGTAACATCACGCAGAGCCAAGAGGAAAAACAGGGGAGAAGCTGAGCCTCTCGCGGGTTTACCTACTCCCCGCGCCCCCCGTGATTGGTTTTTTTTTTTCCCCCATGGCAGTCCGTTCTGAAAATGAGCAGAGAACAGGGAAATCCTGGCGGGAGGAGGGGGAGCATAGAGAGAGCTAGCTTGCTCTAGCTGAAGCATTGATTTCTATTTAACTTGACCCAGTGGGGCTTTCAACTAGTGACAGGATGCAAAACGGCCCTGGAAAACAGTATATAGCCCCTCCTTCGCTCCCACCCCCACCCCCCAAGAAATTCAGAAGGCTGAATCCTCGGTGCTTTTTGACATGACATCTTGCAAATAGTTCAGGGCAAAGCTGCAGAGAGAAAAAAGAAAATTAATAAGGCAAGGTTTATATACGGCCTAATTATGTGGTTGCTGTGGGTTACAGGCTAATAAAATCATGATTAGGTCTTATGTATTTATATTTCTTTTCAAGGCACAGTCAACAAAATGATTAACCCAAGGGTTAGCTGTTAAACTGCTGAGGTCAAAGAATGCACTGCTGTGTCAAAAGTCTAAGTAGAGGAGAGAAAATCAATAGGACATGTGCTTTAGAGTATCCCTGTTTCAGTCCTGAGCACAGCACAGGAGCTCAGTATTGCAAAAATCATTGGAAGCTGAAACCGGAAAACTCTGATGGTCTACAGGCTTTTATGGTCATTTAGAAATAAACTATGTAAAATGGAAATTAAATATATTGGCATGGTCACCTTCCTTTGTTCACATCTTAATAACAAGCGATGGTCAGAGAGATATATTCATAGGTAGAACATAATGGATCCTCTCCTGCTCACCAATATTACAAATGAATTCTATAATTACTTCCTAATTAAAGCCTGTCCTTGAACTACCTGTTGTATCCACAATCCAAACTGCAGATAAGCATTGACGTTCAACATGGAACATAACTACAATGCACTTATTATATTTACACTGAGAGCAGAAATGTAAGTTTCCTTTGAGTTCAGCTTAATTCCTGGTGACACATATAACCATGCAGCATTCTTGGCAACAGTAGAGAATGCCATTCCATTTTTCCTGGATAGTTTTTAAGTTTCCAGTCTAAGCTACAACCCTGATATTACTTGGTGATCTCCTATCCAAATATTAACCCATTCCTGCTTGGCTTTTGAGTTCTGATTAGATCACTCAATTTTTACCATCTGTTGAGCCTTAATAAATTAGCAAAAAAAAAAGAAAAGGTAAAGCTTTCCCTGTCAGTCATGTCACCGTGCTCACCTCCATTTCTTGCCAAGAGAGCCAGTGTTGTCCGAAGACAATTTCTGTAGTCCTGTGGCCAGAATGGCTATATGCCAAAGGCGGAAGGAACGCCTTGCATCTTCCCACTGAATTGGTACCTATTTATCTACTCACATTTGTATGCTTTTGAACTGCTAGGTACTAATAAATTAGCACATTATCATAAAATGCACTTTATCTTAGGATGGCATGGTCAGCTGTACGTGAAAGTGAAAATGGAAACTTTACCCCGAGTGGTAATTAATATAATTAAGTGGTTATTTGTATGCCATCTATTTAAAAATGCCTTAATTTTTGTGCTTTAATTTTCATGTGGTTTTTACTTCTTGCAAAAATGTTGTTTTTTCCCTTTTTATGATTTTCCTTGAGAACGTATCCTCCCTCCTTTCCTCCCTCCCTCCCTCCCCTCCCTCCCAAGACTTGTTTCTTCGCCCATGTTATGTGCTATATATGCTATAACTCTGGTCAGCTAACAAAAATAACAATAACAAGCAAATAAAGACAAGAAAACAAACAATTGACATCCCCTAAACCTGGTGCCCTAACAACTCTTTGCAGTACATGAACAATTACAAGAATTACACACTGTGGATTCCAGCCTCACTCTACCTTAATGCTTGGGAGAAGAGCCAGTGGTGCCAGTTAAAACAGGAGAAAAATGGAGAAATTCCCACAATATATAAGAAATATAAGACCTTTTGAAACTAACACATCATTGTTCAGAATTTTTAATACATCCTGGAAAAACCACCATCTCTTTGTCAGAAAGGGAGAAAGAAAAGATTTTGAATATGCAGTAGTCAGTTATTGTTTGAGACTGTTAATTTGAAGGAAATGAATATTTATTCTTCGTATATGTTAGAAACTGTATTATTGTTATATAGGCACATTCTTTTCTAATTTCTATTTTGCTTTTCTCTGCTCTTTTTTGTTTTTAGAAACTCTTGCCCAATAGCTGCTTTAGATAAATACAGGTAGTCCTCGACTTACAATTGAGACTGGAATTTATGTTGCTAAATGAGAAATTTGTTATGTGAATTTTGTTCTATTTTACTACTTTTCTTGCCACGTTTGTTAAGTGAATCACTGCAGTTGTTAAATTAGTAACGTGGTTGTTAAGTGAATCTGGTTTCCCCATTGATTTTGCTTATCAGACAGTCGCAAAAGATGGTTACATAACCCTGGGACACTGCAACCGTCATAAATATGAAACAGTTGTCAATTAATGTAAATCACGTGACCATGGGGATGCTGCAAAGGTCATAAGTGTGAAAAATGGTCATAAGTCATTTTTTTCAGTGCCGTTGTAACTTTGAATGGTCACTAAGTGAACTGTAAGTCAACGACTACCTGAATCAATATTTTAGGCTAATTAAATAATATTTCTATACATTCCCTGATAATCCCTGATAGCTCATTGCATTTGGATGTAATCCAATTGAGAAAGGAAGAGAAAACTGTAGAGCAAAAGGAAATGTCCAAATCAAATAAACAGTGGCAGCATCTGGAAGATACCCTTTGGACTTTTAAATGGCAGTTATCAGGAAAAGAATTACCTTGTCTGGAAGACTAGAAAATAGGGATGTAATTGTAGGTAGTTCTTGCTTAGCAACTATAATTGGAATTGGTAGTCCAATTGCTAAACACTGTGGTTGCTAAGCAAAAAAAGAAATCACATGACCATGATGGACTTAAGATGTCACTTCCTATTCAGTCATTAAGCAAGTCATCACAGTTGTGAAGTGAAACATCATGCGACCACGACTTACAACTTTATTTCTGTGTTTTCTGTTAATTCTGCTTGTTGCAAGCTGGTTGGGGAAGGCACACAAATGGCAATCACATGAGCATGGGACACTACACGAGTATGGGGCATTGCAACAGTTGTAAAAGCAAGGATCATCCCAAAACACTTTTTTTATACTATTGTAACTTTGAAAATTTGCAAACAATTGGCTGTTGTTTGCATACTGCTTATCTCCAGTAGCTGCTTAAGGATGAATAGTCCATAACTACAGTGCAGATGACTAGATTCTACACAGCAGCACTGGGGGTTCATCAGAAATATGTGTCTAATCCACCATAGCTATTTCATACAACAAATGTGGCAAACCCTTTGCGCTGCTTATTCCTTTGCATTTTAGTATTAAATTGACTACAGGCCTCACAGTTTTGTATTTTTGTATAGTTAAACCATGTGTAACTGACAGACCGGGTTTTATCATAGATTTTATCTGTTATTTATTATTCTATAATTTTTAATTGGATAAACACTATTTTTATTTGTTCTGGTCTTTGGTCTATAAACAAATAAAATCATAATTTTTTTTAAAAAAACAAGTCAATTGGTAAGCAAGGACTATCTTTAAGAAAATACATGATTCTTTTGCTTTGTTGACCTATCCTAAATTAGCTTATTTATATTTCATGGATGATCCAACAATTCTGACAACACATATTTTAATGGATTATAGCAAACTATTTCATGTTCCTGGCGCATATTCAAAAGGTACAGGTGCTTATGCCAAATCCGACTTCATTATTAACTAAAGATTATCTTAAAACATTAATGATATAATCTTTTACACATCTGCTTGGAAATGTATTGCGGTGGAAAAGATTATAACTGCCAGATTTGTAAACAAAAACTACGCCTAGTGGTTCGATAGTAATGCACTGATGAAAGAACTGAATAACATTTCAGAATGAAAGTAGAAGGGTGTTTTGTATAGAATGAGGGCAAGCAGTTAGTACTCATGCAAATCCATAGATCAAATGTTATATTTTCTCTGGATCTAAAATGCTTCTCCATTTTTTAGAATGACCCAGGCTCAGATCTAAAAACTCCTATTCATAAATAGCAGTAGCTCGTATTGTATGTGATTAAAAGAATTCTTGATAAATATGGACCAGCTGTTAAAAAAATTTCAGAAATTTCAACTGGTGTTCAGTAATGCTGCTAGAATTTTAACTTTTATTAGTACTTTTACTAATAATACTAATAATAAAAGAAGTACTTTTATTACGCTTGCTAGTTTAGCTTCTCATGAATGTGCTTTAATTACTTATTGTTGATATATTTTTCTGTGTTTTGTCATCCACTTTAACTTATTTTTTGAAACTAAAAAGTGAAGTAAAACTTCATGATAATTATGCATTGCATATGGCAATTTATCTGTTCACATAATCCAGCAATACAGTGCATGAAACTGTTAGATATCATAAAATGATTGTACGCATGTACATTTACAAAAGAATCCTATGGAAGATTATGAATTTACCTCAAAGTGTGTATATGCCTAAGATCTGGTTATATTTCTTTAATATTCCTGTATTATTTTATTCAGAAATAAATTATTTTATAAGGACATTTGGATAGACTTCATGGGATATATGGATAGAAGTGATAACATTTGTTCATCACATGTTCTCAGATACGTGGCAATGGGTTCAGGGACAGATTCTCTATCCTTTGTCTATCGTTGCTGAATGTCATCACTTAGCTGGAACATTTTAGTCAGAACTGTTTTCAAGAGTATGTGTCTGTCTCCAGCAATGTTCTACTCATCTGAATTGCTGACCACAGAGTCTCTAAAGTTTACAAATCCAGCATTATACTCTGTTGAAATAGTTGT